ATTTGCTAAGAATTTTTTCCTGGTTGCCCATAACCAAACTCATAACCGAAATCATAACCGAAATCATAACCGAAATCATAACCGAAATCATAACCGAAATTATAACCCAAATGATAACAGAAATCATAACCGAAATCATAACCGGAATCATAACCGAAATCATAACCGAAATAATAACCGAAATGATAACCGAAATTATAACCGAAATGATAACCCAAATCATAACAGAAATCATAACCGAAATCATAACCGAAATCATAACCGAAATTATAACCCAAATGATAACAGAAATCATAACCGAAATCATAACCGGAATCATAACCGAAATCATAACCGAAATCATAACCGAAATGATAACCGAAATTATAACCGAAATGATAACCCAAATCATAACAGAAATCATAACCGAAATCATAACCGAAATTACAACCGAAATTATAACCCAAATGATAACAGAAATCATAACCGAAATCATAACCGGAATCATAACCGAAATCATAACCGAAATCATAACCGAAATGATAACCGAAATTATAACCGAAATGATAACCCAAATAATAACCCAAATCATAACCCAAATCATAACCTAAATCATAACCGAAATCATAACCCAAATCATAACCCAAATCATAACCTAAATCATAGCCCAAATCATAACAGAAATCATAACCGAAATTATAACCGAAATTATAACCGAAATGATAACCCAAATGATAACAGAAATCATAACCGAAATCATAACCGGAATCATAACCGAAATCATAACCGAAATCATAACCGAAATGATAACCGAAATTATAACCGAAATGATAACCCAAATCATAACCCAAATCATAACCCAAATCATAACCCAAATTTTAACCGAAATCATAACCCAAATCATAACCTAAATCATAGCCCAAATCATAACAGAAATCATAACCGAAATCATAACCGAAATCATAACCGAAATCATAACCGAAATCATAACCGAAATCATAACCGAAATTATAACCGAAATGATAACCCAAATCATAACCCAAATCATAACCCAAATCATAACCCAAATCATAACCCAAATCATAACCCAAATTCTAGCCTAAATCATAGCCCAAATCATAACAGAAATCATAACGGAAATCATAACCGAAATTATAACCGAAATGATAACCCAAATGATAACAGAAATCATAACAGAAATCATAACCGAAATCATAACCGGAATCATAACCGAAATCATAACCGAAATCATAACCGAAATGATAACCGAAATTATAACCGAAATGATAACCCAAATCATAACCCAAATCATAACCCAAATCGTAACCTAAATCATAACCGAAATCATAACCGAAATCATAACCCAATTCATAACCCAAATCATAACCGGAATCATAACCGAAATCATAACCGAAATCATAACCGAAATGATAACCGAAATTATAACCCAAATGATAACCCAAATCATAACCCAAATCATAACCCAAATCATAACTGAAATCATAACCCAAATCATAACCTAAATCATAGCCCAAATCATAACAGAAATCATAACCCAAATCATAACCTAAATCATAGCCCAAATCATAACAGACATCATTACCGAAATCATAACCGAAATTATAACCGAAATGATAACCCAAATCATAACCTAAATCATAGCCCAAATCATAACAGAAATCATAACCCAAATCATAACCTAAATCATAGCCCAAATCATAACAGAAATCATAACCGAAATCATAACCGAAATTATAACCGAAATGATAACCCAAATCATAACCCAAATCATAACCTAAATCATAACCTAAATCATAACCCAAATCATAACCCAAATCATAACCCAAATCATAACCGAAATCATAACCGAAATCATAACCTAAATCATAACGCCGAAATCATATCCGTTGGTGGAACCAGGAAGCCGGCAACCAATCAGAATGCAGGAATGTCACGGAAAATTTGACGGGACGGACTTTTCGAAATTATAATATAGATGGAACAATACATGACTTTTTGGTTAATTTTGTTATCCATAATCGATTTCTGATCATATTTACCAAGCGTATAGGTTAATTTATAATATACAATATTACATGCAATAGCACAACATGAATTTTTAAAATGTAGACCTATTCTAAACTCTGTTTCAAGTTACTTGAGTTCCCCGCCTTGAGTACATTACATTACATTAGCCGAATGAGCCGAATTATTTTATTATTTGACACCACATATTTTTATTTTGGCGTAAAAATCATACGAAATTGAATAATTTAAACGCCAAAATGAAAATTACAGGTCTCAAATAATAAAATAATTCGGATCGTTCGGGTAATGTACTCCATGTGACCAAATCAAGTAACGTGAAACGGAGTTTAGAAATATATTCAAAGATTTCTAAATCACAAATTAACAAAGTTTAATTATAGCAAAATTTTAATATTTATGTAAGATGGCATATTTGTATTCAATTAATCACGGCCCACGGCGAGGCAAATGGTCCCGAGCGCATATATTTTGCTGTTCTGTTTACCGAAAATTATAAATCATGAGATGAACATTGATTTAGCATATTATGTTACTACACGATGATAACATCTTGTTTTCTCCTTTTAAGCAAGCCTCACCTAAGTTTTTTTTAAAGAATTAGTTTATTTATTGTGTGCTTGATCAAAGCCAAAAATTTTTCCATCAAATTTAATGAGCAGTTAATAAAATGAAAAAAATTTTCATTCTTTACCTTTTTCAGGAAATGAATCACGCAACAGATTTTATACACATATACTGGGCTATTGCGTCTACAAATCGCCAAATTCTAAATTACAGCGCCTAATACATACATAATATGTAAATATCTATACACAGGTTCAAAAAATTGTTCGTGTTGAAGCAATACATCCTGTATCTATTTTTCCGAGACTTAGGTCGATATCTTTTAAATATTTTATGTTTACGTGACGTTGGTTAGAATTGAGAAATTTTAAAGGTCTTAGTTTCAGGTCTGACTGGTTATTTATAACTATTTTAAAACCCAAGTCGTCAATATCACTTGAGTTTTTGCGGACTATAAACAAACACGTACTTCAATGTTAACTTACGGATAAATTTATGTAGATATATGAATAAATACGGATATATACGGATACATTTGTTTAGATACGTAAGGAGCCTTAATTGGCTTACGTTGAACGCATTCTAAAGCCTTAAAAGACCTCAGACCTACATTTTGTAGGTCGGAAAACCCAAATTTGGGAAAAAACAATGAAAAGAAGTTTATCCTTCATCATTCTCTTAGTTTTAGTTCCCAGTATTCTTTCTCAGCTGGAGAAGCTTGTAAATAATTTAAAGCAACTTTCACCCTGTTTAGCTATAAGGATGGGGAAGCATTTCAAATTCACCACTGATAGTTTTAAATCCTCTCATCTTTCAAGTTCACTAATTTTGGACGAAGAAACTAACAAGTCAAAACTTTTTACAGACGCAATAGTCGCAGAAATAAAAAAATGTAAAGTGCACCGTAATCCTTTCCTCAAGTTCCCAATTTCCAGTGACGTCCGGTCCAAGTTTAGACCTTTTAATAAGAACAGCTTATTTCTATTATTTTCCTAAAAATGCTGGAGATAATAATAATGATGGTATTAGCTGGCTAAACGATTTTGCGCTTCATTGTCGCATGAATTATGTTGATATCAGATAAACAAATTCTCAGAAAATTGAATTTGAAAAAAAATTCACAACAACTTCGTGTAATTTCGATCGTACAAATTTTCACAAAGCAAAAATTATGTGGTTGGTCGCTTGGCATTTTGCAGCCCTAGTTGGGGAACATATGTAAGTCTCAATTTCTATGGTAAGACGAAACTATACAAGCCTTCGGTCCGGTAGTTATCAAGCTTTTGATAGTCTCTGTACAGAGTGGTGAGGAAGATTAGAAGGAAACTCATTTTCATCTTGAGAAGCCAATTGAACCAAGCATTTGAAAAAAAATCGTGAGGTGGCCTGAATTAAACCGACAACCCTTCGTTCTGATCACTAATCGGTAGGATAAGAAAAACTACACCAGCCATTCACAGGGCTTTGTGGAGAAGTGGAAACCGATTAGTGATCAGAATGAAAGGTTGTCGGTTTGACTCAGGCCACCTAGCGATTTTATCAAATACTTAAAGATTTCGTTCTACCTGAAAATATATATGTATATTTCAGAAAACACGGGACTGATAAACACTATGTTTTAGCACCAGTATTGTCTCTCTGCATGAAACTGAATGTCACGCTGACCCCCGTAATATTCGACTCTTATGGGAAAAAGGACCCCACGACAGGGAGATGGACGGGAATCTTCTCATCAAGATTGTCACATCACTCCATGGCTAACGTTGACTTTGGACAGAGCTGAGATCTCGACACCCACCGTCGCCCTAATACCGGAAGGACTTAGTTTTATCACTGGACTCCCACAAGAGGAAGGCTCCACTTATTTGCTTGCTGTAGCTAGAGACGGGATTGGACTGGAATTTGCTCTTTTAATGCTGGCCTCATATCTCGTGTATACCTTTTTATTGACGAAAAACTCGTGGAATGAATTACCAAATGCTTTGACTTATTTGGCGATGTGCATTTTGAAATTGAGCGTCCACGCAAGGTACTCCAGGTAATAGAACAGTGAATTTGAAAAAGGGAAGTATTTTTTAAATAGCTATATTATATTTTATATTAAATTTTATATCATAGTTCAGTTTTAAACAAACTTACAATGCGATGGGGTGAAGTGTAACCCTCCGATTTCATGGCGGAACAATTTTTTGCACATATTCAGACCTACTTTTAACGTCAGACCTTGAACTTTATTGTATTCAGGCACTTTTTGCATTATGCAAGCGTTAAAGCGTAGATACATAATTTTAATGCTGTATAGGGAATTTTGAGAATTTTTCCTGGGAATTTTGAGTGCTTTAGCTGCAGCTTCCGCCAGTCATTCGTGCAAAACGTTTTTCTGACTTTCTCCACTTTCTGATTTGAAATTTTTTTCAATTTTTTATAATTTTTTCATAAATTGGATAACAATCAACGTCATTATGTTCGTCATAATAGTTCAAAAGTTTGTAAATGGTCGCTCTGGGAATTGTTTGTTTTAAAATTATTGATGACTGTACTTTTTAATTGAAATAAATATTTATGTACTACCTCGTTTTTACTTTCTTTGGTAAAAGTATTGTTATTTTTTAAATAATTTTTAACAAATATCATCTTTAACTTTCCTGAGGCATACATGAGTAACAATAATGAAAACCGGAATCACTTCACACAAAGCAAAATTTGATTTGTATAAGATTCTCAGCGTTTGTAGAGCTAATTTGTATGAGTTCAACGGCACCAATTATTTGGAATTACTCCGCCCCCTCGCTGAGTGGGAGGACCCCAATGTTGGAAAAATTCGCTACGTCTGCGATTTTTAGCGCAAAGGCGGGTCAATATTTTTGAAAGCGGTCTTCACCAAAAGTTTCCTAATTTTGTTCCCTACAACCGTTTTTGACCGTTTTTTGAAATTCGCAAAACAAATGTCACGATTTCGTGCATCCAGAACTTACCACAGCGGTAGATTGGGAGCTAACACAGCAATACATAGGCTAGAACTTAAAAATATTCTTCTGTGTCTGGAACATCAGGGAGTGGTCATACACCAGACAAAGTATATATATTCCGAATCCTCCCGCCGAGATCTTTCCAGTGATACCCCATTTATGGGGTAATGTGAGATTTGACCTATTTTACCTTTAAGGTCCACATCATAAAAGTTCTTTTAAAGAATTTCAGAAAACGGTCAAAAACGGTTGTAGGGAACAAAATTAGGAAACTTTTGGTGAAAACCGTTTTCAAAAATATTGACCCGCCTTTGCGCTAAAAATCGCAGACGGAGCGAATTTTTCCAACTTTGGGCTCCTCCCACTCAGCGAGGGGGCGGAGTAATTCCAAATTATTGGTGCCGTTGAACTCATAAAAATCAGCTCTACAAACGCTGAGAATCTTATCCAAATCAAATTTTGCTTTGTGTGAAGTGATTCCGGTTTTCATTATTGTTACTCAGATAGGTCTTACGGTTTCGACGGGTAGTTGGATCGATCAAGAACAAAAAACACGATAAATCCACTTTCTAACATTGATCAGTATATGGAAAATGACCATTAATACATACATACGTCTATTGGTACGTGCGCTAATTCCATACCTAATTAATACTACCAAAGCTAATTCTAATTGCTAATTAATTATAAAATCACTAAAATCAATAAATCAATTGGTAAATATTTCAATTAATTAGCTAATTAGTTAGCAACTTCTGTTTAATTTCTAATTACCAATTAATTAGACAAAATATTTTCTTGCAAATTACCAATTACTAATAAATTAGAAATGTGACTAATTAAACAGCTCTGATTTAGGTGTCATTTCATTGTGGATAACTTCTACTTGTTTGTTCCCCAACTGTCTTCTGGGATTTCTGGGGGGAGGGGTGGTACAAACCCCTGGTGGGTGGCTAAGCTTGACATGCCAGTTCCTCTTCCCCCTCGATTTGAAAGTCTGATCGCAGTGGGGGCAGAGAAATGGGCCCACACCCGCGTGACTTCTTATGTGGGTCTTGAGACTCATCGTGTTGAGAAAACCAGCCCCACAAACCTAAGAACAAGTACAATTTTAGAAACGAAAATGAAATTTCCCACATAATTACAAAAATTATCAATTAAAAATTATCTTGTAAAAAATTATTTTAGAATGAAATAAAAAAGAGTAAAATTTATTCAGGGTTTGGTAAAAAAGAGGATGACACAATTAGAAGGTAAAATTAGTCCAACTTTGTACAAAATTTAAATTTGACACAACTTTCGACAAATTTTGCACAACTTTGGACCAATTTATGTAACCTTTTGGTTGTGTCATCCTCTTTTTTACACAACCTTGAGTAAATTTTACTCTTTCTTATTTATGGTACATACAATTTCGAAATAAAAGATTCTCAGTTTTCTTGCATATTTTTAATTTTTCTGGTACTACATACAATTTCAAAAAATTTGAAGAAGAGTTGTTCATAAATTTCATTAATGGTAACTTTAAGAGCCGATTTTGGCATACTTATAATATGTACGAATACACAAATGGTCCTTGACGATAATTTTAATTAGTCGCTAATTTTGACAAAAATTAAAATTACAAAAACTGACTATTATCCCAGCATTTGGGATGTGAACCTCATTTGCATATTTTGACGCGTTATTTTAGGGTGCACCGCCTAAATGCGAGGACAGTACACACCTATTTATATTTTTCCAAAATGTACAAACGTTAAAATTAAGTTTTTACATTCTAGATTATTTCATTCGAAATTTTACCTCACATTTGTGCCTTTTTTCAACCGTATGGACTTTCTTGTGGGTTTCAAGTTCCTCCGGATTTGTTAAAGTTGTTCCGCTTATTCAGAATTAAAACGTCCTAATTATGTATGCCTTTTACAAAATTTATTGAGCGTACTCACGTCAACTTTCGCATATCTCGCTAAATTAAGCACATCAACATAATTTACGAGATTTCGCAAAAATTTTGCTGGAAAACCTTGGGATTTTTTTCGCAAATTTACCCAGCAAATGGGCATGTTCTCATTTCGCAAACGCAACCACAACTTCTCCATCAAGAGAAATTACAGAAATCCATGGAAACAGGGTCAAAATAGGTAGGTGTTTTTAAGGTGGCATTTTATGCCCCAGTATGCCGATTTTTAATTTGAATTATTAGCTCACCCTGCGTAGCACGAGAGCTATTGAGTTCCTCTTGTCCGTCCGTCCGTCCCTCTGTCTGTTAACGACCTTTTTGTATCAATTGATGCTAATTAAAATGTACCAGGTGTATTTTTGATAAATTAATAGCAGTGTTAGTATCTAATAATCGGTGACACAAAATGATGCGAAATAATTGGGAGAAGGGATGCAAAACGCACCAATAGTGCAAAATATCCGGGAGAAATGATCATACAATTTTGACAAAGTTTTCAAAATTATGTATCCCGGATTGTCGCTAATGCTGCAGTAATGGTGCTGCGGCTAGCCGTTTTTGTTGCACCATGGGTGCAAGAATATATACGATTTATGATCTATTTTGCCGGCTTATTCCGCACCTTTGATGCAAAGTTCTGTCTAATCATCATGACAGGGTGAGCTACTTCTAACGTTACTACGGTTTATTGTGTCTCATCTTTCCCTTCTTCCATATATTCAAATGGCGATTTTGAAACTTATTCATCTCCGTGGTTTTTTTACAATATGAAGATTTTAATGCACCTAAAAATCGATAATTTTTAGATTTACAAAGTTACGACTATACAATTTTGATTTTCTTCTTGCATGAGGACATAGATGTGACATAGATGAAAAATAATCGGTAAAACTAAATATTTTCTCATTTAAGAAAAAAATCAAAATTCTAGACTCCTAACTTTGCAAACATAAAAATTAGCGATTTTTACGTGCATTAAAATCACCATATTGTACAAAACCAAGGAAGATAAATAGGTTTCAAAATCGCCATTTGAATACATGGAAGAAGGGAAGGTTGAGACACATCAATTCAAACTCTAACCCCGCATACAAATGCACGTTAATAGATTTGCCAAGTCATATTTTGCGAATCTCCCCGGGACACAAATACATATTTTGATCTTGGCAAGTTTGCTAAATGAGTCGCGATGCGAAATAAGTTGTCGTGAGTATGCCCATTATCTGAAAAAATGTAGTTACCATTCCTCACAAAGGATGGCGTCCTGGCCATGCATGTGCGTGTCACATTCCACATTTTTGAACTTCTCGTCGTTTTGACGATGACGGGCGAGGTGGTTCTTGAGGTCCACGTGGTGATGAAACCCTTTCCCACATATGTGACAAATCTGCCGGGCAGGTCCGGAAGGGTGGACGCGTGCCACGTGGACGGACAGGATGTACTTTTTCTCCGCTTTGTAGTCACAGTGAGGACATTGCTCAGTTCTTGGCTTCGTGTGGGACCTCAGGTGGCTGGAATAGGCGGGAAAATCAAGTTAGGTTAGACGCTTATCATCATACCTGTTCATTTTCATTCATGTTATGATAGTGAATGAAAATGAATTTCTTATGATTTGATGCGCAATTTTTTCGACTTGAAAATTATTATGAACTAAATTTCTTTAATCGAAAATTCACGTATTCCCTCAAGTTTATTGCAATCTGCTAGATGGCGACAGGATATTTCTCATAAATCACATATTTCTCATATCTCACTATTTCTCATAAATCTCACTATTTCTCACTGACAATGGAGGCGCAAACCATGTTCAGCGAAGATAATTTTTTGACCTTATTAGTTTGAAAGAGCAAGTCTTTACAAACAACATTTGGTTCGGAACTTGGGCAGATGCGCAAATTTCAGCACGTTATGGGCGCCGCAAGTGCGCAAAAACGCACGAAGTCTAGCTCCCGCTGGGCATTGCCCGAAAAATCCTGCGTTTTTGCAAACTTGCGGCGCCCATAACGTGCTGAAATTTGCGCATCTGCCCAATTGCCGATCCAAATGTTGTTTGTAAAGACCTGCTCTTTCAAACTAATAAGGTCAAAAAATTATCTTGGCTGAACATGGTTTGCGCCTCCATTGTGAGATGAGATTTGTGAACGGCAAGTGAGATTTCTGCACTCTTAGCAAAATGGTATTGAACTTAATTGAATCATCACCAAACGGAGTGCATATATGACTTAACCGGAGCAGTGATAACGGGCAACACCGCATAGCGAAAAATTTACACCGTTGTGGTGATGAAAACTAGAGGTGAGCTAGATTTCCATTTTTTGGATAATGCATGGCCCGATCCAATCCAACTGGATTTGGATGGATTGGATCTGAAATTTTTTGGGCCAAATGGATTTGGATGGATTTGATCTGAAATTTTTTCGGCCGAATGGATTTGGATGGATTGGATCTAAAAAATTTTGGGTGAATTGGATTTGGATGGATTGGATCTGGGTGGATTGGATTTGGTCGAAATTGATAAATTTCGTCGGGCTAAATTTAATGCACCACCGAATTAGTTGAAACTTGCCACAATTTTTAGCCGAATTTGCCACTGGATGAAATTTTTCTAACTTTGGCCTTTTTAGCCACCAACTTAGATGGTGTATACCACAAAATTAGATGAGCTGCCATTAAGATATTTGATGACGTTAAATATGGATATAGGTTACAAAAACAATGCACAATTTACAATACTATGAGTTACTTATTTATAATTATTTCCCTATATCGTTTTAAAATGCAACTGAAATAACAATGAGCGCTTTTTCACCCAATGGAACGTTTTTAGCTTCCGGTCGACCAACATCTAAAGCGTATTCTGGATTGCTAAGCCAATTATATGCCAAACGTGTTCTTACACGCGGGACGTGAACATGTAGAATTAGTCCATTGATTGGTGTGAACCATCCATAATCTTGTGACGCTGGCGACGCAGGAATCGAAAATTGTTGATGACTTGTCCGTATTCACCCGCAATGTAATCCGCAATTTGTAAATTTTCTTCTTACACCATCCTCTTTCAAAGAAGGTTGGCGTGAAACAGAGGCAAAATAATGCCTAACGTTGGGTTCATCTTTAGATGTATTATACCTGGTGCTTGGCTTTGAATTATTCCAATTGAAAGCATCGGTCTGAGGTAAATATTTGGAAATTGTACAAATATTTTGTGGTTTTTATATGCAGGGTCTCTCTGCTCCGATCAATCTTTGGTTTGACTTAACATATAGGAGATGACAAACGAGTCATCTCAGTAATTGTCAATAATCTTGAAGTTGACACTAGTATGCCAAAGCATTTGTGCTTATAATTAAACATTGAGTGGACTACAGATTTATCAATGATACTTGTGATCTGTGAATTGTTGCTTGCCAGTGCCTGGAGGCCTCCAAGGGAAACAATTGGTGGATGGTTTGTGAGCGATGATAGGCCAAAAAGCTTTTTAGTTGAGTTGTTGAGCTGTTGAGACAATTATGCGTAACTCGGTCAGAATCATTAGTTTTAGTAGTCCCCACTCTACTAATTTAACAATTTCGTCTTTTACACTTTGGCTGATTCCTAAGATAATATCAAAGGTAATATATACGTCAGTTAATATGTGTGTTGCATATGCTGTGCAAATATATGTACACATATCCGGATAATTAAATTATAATTATTTAGAGAGTTAAGTTGTGCATTGTATTTGTATCCTATATCCAAATTTAACGTCATCCAATATCTTAATGGCAGTTCATCTAATTTTGTGGTAACCACCATTTAAGTTAGTGGCTAAAAAGGCCAAAGTTGGAAAACTTTCATCCAGTGGCAAATTCGGCTAAAAATTGTGGCAAGTTTCAACTAATTCGGTGGTGCATTAAATTTAACCCAATTTCATCACCATAAATAATATCAGGAAGTGATCTTTTAATTTCGATCTAACAGTAACTGGGCCATACTTTTGTTGCATGGCACACACTGTGACACATATACAGTCTAATCAGATCTATTCCGAACCATGAGTTTATATATATAACTCTTTGGATAATCCATGCCCTGATCCGATCCAACTGGATTTGGATGAATTGGATCTGAAATTTTTTATGCCAAATGGATTTGGATGGATTGGATCTGAAATTTTTTGGGCCAAATGGATTTGGATGGATTGGATCTGAAAAATTTTGGGTGAATTGGATTTGGATGGGTTGGATCTCAAATTTTTTGGGCCAAATGGATTTGGATGGATTGGATGCGAAATTTTTTGGGTGAAATGGATTTGGACGGATTGGATCTCAAAAAATGACGATCCAGCTCACCTCTAATGAAAACTCACCACTTGGAATCAAACTATTATCAACCCGGGGAGACATTAACACCAAATCAATACCATCACGGAGTGTATATGTGTATGACTTCACCAGTTTGCCAAGAGTGTGCGAAAAAGTGTACATGATCCGATCCAATCGTAATCCTCGGATTCCTGATCAGTGCCCCTCCTACTTTAAATATATCTTTCCACCTCGCCAACGCTTGAAAACATTCAAATCAAGTGACACGCCGGAGTAATCCTAGAGTATGTGATCAGTAGCGGCGGAAGTTGGGGGCATTAGCATTGCGAGATAGGGATCGGATGAGCTTGGTGACACGAGAAAGATTGAATTTCTGACGGGATAATATAAATATAAACCTGTCCCCCACCCCGGCTTCCGCCGCCACTGATCTAACAATGCGATGAAATGAAGTGTAACCCTCCAATTTGGCTGAAATTTTAAAATGATGGTGGTCCAAATCAGTACAACCAACGTTTCAGGCAGTTTGTGCGATGGTTCGAATTAGTCAAAATATTTGAGGTCAAAGTTGAACAACGCGCGATTTCAAGGTAATGGGACTGGGGTCTCCTTCATCCGCTCCTCAAAACCGCCCATTTTTTGAACTTTGACCCCAAAAATTTTCTCAAATTCCAACCATCGCACAAACTGCCTCAAGAAACGTTGCTTAAACTGACTTGGGCCACATATGTAATTCCAAAATTTCAGCCATATTTCATATTTTTTTCACACATACTCTGCGAATACACCATATACGTAGGTGTTTTATTATTAATTTTCAAAAGGTATGTTCCGCACTGTTTCTGACCAAAATTGTGATGAAATAACAAACTTCAAATACATTTAGGAGGCTGTGATTTTTTTCAACTCTGTGGGTTAACATAAACACTAGCAATAAATCGGCAAACTTTACCTCGACGGAAAAAATGCTAGATTTGCAAATTAAATATCGTAGTGTGATTTAATTTTTAATGCTGGATGGGCAATACGTGTCGCAGATTTATGGTTGAATGCTTAAAATGTACAATGAAAACTGCCCAACACAAAACACAAATTCAATTGGGTCAATAATTTTTAATGATGGCGAAACGAGGTCTCGGGCAAAAAGTCGCAAGGACGCTCAAAATCCGCTTCTTCCACAGAAAGGCTCCGGAAACTAGAGGAACCAATAATGAGAGATCCGCGATTGAAACTGTCCTATATAGCAGATGAGATGGGTGTTCCAAAACCAGCAATTTGTTCCATGTTAACTGAAGACTTAGGTATGAAAATGGTTTCCGTCCGTTGGGTACCAAAATTGCTTTCGGCATCTCACGAACAGGATCGAGTCGACTTTTGCAATGCAAATTTTAACCTATTAAATGAAGACTTGAACCTGCTCAATATTTTATTAGCTAAATATGGTACCTGAGTTTACTATTATGACCCGGTGACCAAATAATAATTCCCTCATTGGAAGCACGAGGGGTTGCCACCGCCCGTGAATTGAAAAGTGCAAAAATCTGACAAAAAAATTGATGATGACCATTTTCAAGGATAGGTCCCCTCCTTATAAAATTTATTGCTGGAAATACTGCAATAAATGGGGCCGTGTATCCAGGAACCCTGAAGGAGCTGCGTCCTCCGGTTGAAAAGAAACGTGGGGTCAAAATAAAGAGTTGGCCTTTTTTTAGACGACAACGCGCCACCTAATACCTGGCTTTTTGCGAGGGTTAGTGCAGACGAAAATCGCTTTACCTGCACAAACCACGCCCCGTGCAGTCCAGACTTGTCCCTTAGTGATTATTATTCGTTTCGAAACTTAAAGAAAAACATCAGGGGAAAACGGTTTTCGGATGATAATGAAATCAAGTCGTAAATTTTGGCATATTTTCGAGGTAAATTTTAATGAGTTATTGCTAGTGTTAATGTTAACCTACAGAACTGAAAAAAATCACAGCATCCTAAAAGTATTTGAAGTTTGTTATTTCATCAAAAGTTTGGTCAGAAACAGTGCGGAACATACCTTTTGAAAATTAATAATAAAACACCCACGTACTAAGATTTAATAAAATAAGTCTTCTTAAATTTCAACCAATTCGGAGTGTTACACTTCACACCATCGCATCGTAAGAAAAACCAAATAAGTACTTACCTTTCCAGTTTCACCCTGGTCTTGAACCATTGCTTGCATTCCGTACAATTGAACGGGTTCGAGTGCATTGCCGACGCCAAATGTGTCTTAAGACGTGTCTCGCTTTCAAACCGGTTATCACACAAGTCGCAAACGAACGGTTTCGCCCCCTCGACCTCGTGCAGGTTCACATGTCGCGCCAAGTTTTCCTCGAGACAGAAGCGCTTATCACATTTACCGCAGGCCAATTTCTTCTCCCCGTTTTCGTGCCGCATCACCATGTGCGTCGCGAGGTCGTACAGCTGCCAGTGTTTGGTTTTGCAAATTCGACACTGGAAAGAGGCCAGGCCTTCGTGTGTCGTCTTCACGTGGGCGTCCCGCGCTTTCCTCGAACCAAATATGGCGCTGCAGGAGGGTGCGAGGCAGGGGATGGGGTAGCAGTAGGTCGCATGCGAGGTAAGGGCAGACTCATTCGTGAATAATTTGGGACACACGGGACATTTGTGGACAGTGGAGGAGGAGGGAGTCAAATTCGTAGGCGTAGATTTTCCAGAGTAAGACGTTGGATTGGACGTTTTTGGGGAAGCGATAAGACTTCCGACCCCTGAGGGGGGACCGGATTGTTTGTTTATGAGGGGTGATTGCGGATCGGACTGCGGTTTATCCCCTTCCGAAATTGTTCTTGTTGGAGAATCTTCTCTCTTGCGTTTCGTGGTGCTAGGCGTATGCAAATCAGGGTTATCAGTGATATATATCACTGACAATGGAGGTCTCCCAACGTATGCTCACCGATTTGGACCAAATTAGTGTCAATCGATCACAAATGTAATCAGTATGAAATTTGCAAATGGAACTATTTGCCAATGCGCAGGTTTGGCGGAGATATTTGGACAAAACGAACAGAAAACGCACCCACAATGCTGACAAGTTCATCATTTTCCAAATTTGCTGCGCGTTTTTCCTGCTTTGGATACAAATATCTCCGCCAAGCCTGTGCATTGGAAGATAGTTCCATTTGCAAATTTCATACTGATTACATTTGTGATCGATTGACACTAATTTGGTCCAAATCTGTGAGCGTACGTTGGGAGACCTCCATTGTCAGTGAGATTTAATGGTTTATATCAATCATCTCGGTTCGGGCAGAGTGAGAAATGTGAGAAATGATGAGATAAACTTGTAGTTCATAACCCCCTCCGCTAGCTGACGCTATGCTAGTGCATGGCTCATAAATCTCACTATATCTCATATTTCCCATGTCTCACTATTTCTCATTGTATCTCAGTGAGATGAGATTTTTGAAGGAGAGATAAGATTTCTGCAACCCTGTTAATCCATACTAACAATGGAGGTCTCCCGACGTATGCTCACAGATTTGGGTCAAATTAGTGTCAACCGATGACAAATTTAGTCTGAAACTTGCAAATGGTACTATCCCCCAAGGTTTGGCCGGGTTATGATATTTGCACTGAAGAGGAGAAAGTGCGCTATATACATATTTCACAACTTTTAAACTTTCCAAATTTGCACCTATTCGGATGCAAATATCTCTGCCAGACATTCCCATTGGGAGATATGGTCATTCGCAAATTTCAAACTTGTGATCGTTTGAACACACGTTGAGAGACCTACATTGTAAAGTATTTAATCGGTACGATTCATATGTGTTAAATCAATATGCAATATTGTAAATAAGGTAATTAAATAATTACAAATTATGAATCTATGTAAATACTTCAAGTTCATGGATTCATACCGTTTGGGAATTTGTTTGCCTTTGGTTAAGTTCATTGGTGGAGAGGGAATAACACAAGATCCGATTGGGGCTGGCACATCAGGGATTGGTCGACTTTTGGGCTGCAGTTTATCCCGTTCCGTACTTGTTTCTGATTCCCTTTTGCGTTTCGTGGTGCTATAAGTATACAGATTTATAGTTAGCTAATAGTCCATATCATAATGGGCCTCCTCAGACACACGAAAAAATCGTCGTTTCGATTTTCGCTTATCGATAGCATGGCAAAAATTATGAAAATTCTAAAATTTTGTTCCGCCTTTAGCTAAGCGACCCTAACCCTACTTCTGAGTTGAGTTTCTGGTCGCTTACCCCAGAGCTCGCTTATCAGGGAGTAAGCGAAAAACTAAGCGAAATTCGAACGATTTTTTCGTGTGTCTGAGGACCCCCAATATTTCTTACTTGCATGCGCAATATTGGTAATTCATAAGCTAATTAATTACAAATTATGAGCAAACATTTGTCATTGTCGCACATACCATTTAGGATTTTCTTTACGTTGTGTCAAGTTTGTTTGAGGGGTAGGAATGATACAAAAATCAGTTTCTGCGTTGTCTAAATCTTGCTCTGATTTTACAATTCTAGGCTCGCGGTCGGAATAGTCATGGTCGTAAAATAGTTGGTCCCCGAGGTCATCCCCGAGGTCCCCCCGGTCTTCTTCCTCTACCTTGACTTGAACCTCGTCGTCGTCTGGTACCAAATTTCCTGCATTTTGTCCTAATTTACTAGGAAGTTGGTGGCCAAATTATTTGGTCTAACTAGGGATACTTTCGAGGTGATAGTCGTGTCCAGGGTACTCACAATATTTTTTATAATCTACTAGGACCCTAGATGAAAGATCCATTCTTAGTTCCGTGTAAAACTCATATTTTTCGCCATAGCGTGGCGCCAAACTTAAAATTTTGCATTTTCGACCAATTTCAAACCACCATAGTTTTTGCAGTTTGTCGGATTTTCAAAATTTTATACTTAAAAGGATCACAAAAGTCGAAATTTTAGGATTTCGAGTAAAAAATAAGGAAATTATAATTTTGGAGAAATTTTTAGCATTCTTTCGACGACCCCCATTTATAAGAAAATTACAAAATTTTGCGAAAAGTTAAAAGTGATAATTTTGGAAACAATTTCATGGAATACAAAGGTTGAACTCCTTCTCATGATTTTCGCCAAATATTTTTAAAATCCGTCCAGGATTTCAAAAGTTTTGGCGGTTTCAAAATTAAAAACACTCAAATTTGCCGAATTTGGCGCCACGGCACGACGCCAAATATGAGTTTCACACGGAACTAAGAATGGACCATTCATCTAGGGTCCTAGCAGATTTTAAAAAACATAGTTGGTACCCTGGACCCGACTATCACCTCGAAAGTATCCCTAGTAAGTACAGTATATGGATCTCCGTTCTTCTTGCCATGGCTTGGATTTTCGGGTGTGTTAAACCCACAAAAAGGCGAGAATCTGCATGCAGAATGCAACCGTCATACGTAGGGTGACCATATTTGTCCTGACTAAAACCGGGACATTTTTTGGCCAAAAAATTTTGCCATAATATCTAGTGCTTGGCGAAAAATTTTGCCATAATATCTAGTGCTTGGCGAAAAATTTTGCCATAATATCTAGTGCTTGGTGATTCAGATATCACCGAATTTTGGGAATGGGCCAGGAAAGAAAATTAAATGAATATTACATGTATGTCACTAGTATTTATGTACTAAAATGTACTTTTTCATCAATATTTTGATGAAAAAGTGAAATAATTTAATTTTTCTCGACGATTTAAAAAACCGGGACATTTTCGGGACGCCGGGACAGGGTTTGAAAAGCGGGACATGTCCCGGCTAAACCGGGACGGATGGTCACCCTAGTCATACGAAATTAATCCGTATCCAAGTACAATTTCTTACAACGATTTTCTAAAAGTAGACTAACTGAACACCGATAAAAACTTAATTTTTTTCCTCACTAAACCTGAAATTTCATATGACTGTTGTAGATTTTCGCATTTTTGTGGGTGTAACACCTTCAAAAATCCAACCCACGGCGCAACAACCGAGATCAAAATACTGTCCTTGGACCAAGTAATTTGGCCTTCTCTGCATAGTAATTGTTAACCAACTAAATTTTCAAAAGTGCCCAACCTGCACCAACATTTGTCCCATAATGTTCCACATTTTGTCCTGTTTAATTGAAAAAAACCAATATGTAAAACGTCAAAAATTAAATTAAAAACGTGTAACCTGTCAATTCTAGCAACATGTCGCGAATTTGTAGAATTTTCTCCCTCCCTGTAATTCTTGGCTGGGAGGAGGAGGACGAAGTATCCAAAATTTTCGTCAAAATTTCCCCCTCCAGAAGTGCAATTTGCCTCTTAATTTCTTCCATTTTGATGAAAAATGGATAACAATCGTTGCAAAAGTCGCACATCTCGTCACCCTCAAATTCAGGGGTTGAAAATTTGGAATTGTGATGACACACCGTCAGCAATTTGAAGACTGTTTCGATTCTGATTTTTTTCCGGGGTTTCGTAGCCTTTTCGATAATTTGTAAACACAAGAGGCACATGGACATGTCGATTTAGTCTAGAAATTATTTTAAAAAAAAGGCAATTTACAATTAATTTTGAAGATAATTCAAGTTTAGCTAGATTAACTTATGCATAGCAAAGTTAATCGTGTAATTTTAGTAAAAATGTGTGATTTACAATTAATTTTATAGGCAAATCAAATAGACTCAGGATAAAATCACGATTAATCGTGTATCCAATTCCTTGCAAATTATGTACGAAAAATAAATACTTTACCCTTGAGAAGACGTTAATTGTTTCTAAATTAAATTTGTAGATGGGAAAATCCAGCCCCAAGTTTTATTTTTGGAAAGTTTTATTTTTACAAAATTGAGTGAATACATACAAAGTTGAGCAGCTGAAGTCAAACTCGTGCGTAAAAAGAGTCTCAAAATTACTCCACGAAACAAAGCAAAGTTTCATGAAAACTCGTCTAATGTGCATACAAAAAAATGTGCATATGTTCAAAACTTGAAGTAACTTAAATAAACTCGTGAATTAATTATTAACCAATTATAGTTTTCATACCCAAACTGAACATTTATATTGTCGGTCCAGTGATTTTGAGAAGTAATTGAATTCGTGTAGATATTTATAATAATTTTATTAATAATTTTACCACGCTTATCTCTTGGCAGTAGCACACATTTGTGCATGCTCTTAGAAAATGCACAAATAAATAATTAGAAAATGTTTCTGAAATTATTTACATATGTATGCCCAATCTTGCACTTGATAATCGAGTAATTGATAAACCATTGAGATAAGGTAGATGTGTAATATTTAAGTGGGAATCAGTGATAAGGTTATGAACCTTTATCGACTCTTTGTCTAATAAAGGGTGTTAATAAAGTCCGATCCCATGCATTTTTTGGAGCGTGGTTGTTACAAATTCAGCTGGAACTTTTGAACCAGTGAAGTTATTTATTTCAAATTTTTACCATGGGAGGAACAACTAAACGTGTAAGTCATGAGCATCTTAGCGTTGAGATACAAACATTGCATCAGCAGGGGCTTAAACCTACAGAAATTGTGCAAAAATTGGGCTGCAGCCGCAGAACTGTTTGGAAATGGAAGAATAAAAATTTTGTCCACGACAAAAAGCGACCAGGGCGACCCAGAAAGGTGTCACCTACCACAAAAAGAATGATTAAAAACAGACTTTGCAAGAAAACCGGTAGTTCATTACGTAATTGAGCAAGGGAGTTAAATGACTCAAAACGCTATAAAGAGAAGAAGAAGCAAATTAACTGTGTGACCGTGCAAAAATTTGTGAAAACTACGAAGTGGGGTCACACAGCTTACAAACTAACCAAAAAAACCTCTCATGTCACAAAAATATATCGATGACCGTCTGAAATTTGAAGAACTCCTTCAGAAAAGTGCCCATTTGAGTGAAAAAAGACTTGGTGAAGAATTGCGCAGTCACATCCTTTGGACTGACGAATCTATTATTGAACTATATCCAAAATTGAACCAACAAAATCTTCGTTACAGGACAGAAAACAACTCGGATGTACCATCAAGAGCGATCCCAAAATTCGGGCTTAAAGTTATGGTAGCGGGTGGATTTTGTGCACGTTGCGTGACCCCTCTACATATCATACCAAAAGGCAAATCAGTCAATGCAAAGCATTATATGGAAAAAATATTACCTATCTATTTCGATAGCATGGGGAACAAGGAAATATTTCCGAATGAAAGAAAAATAGTTTTCATGCAGGATGGTGCTATAGCCCATACAGCAAAAGCGAGTTTGAGTCTCATCAAGACGCAAGTTTCAACGGTCTGGAGCAAGGGGGTGTGGGCCGCTAACGGCCCAGATTTGAATCCCCTGAAGAACCAGTGGTCCATACTCAAGGAAAATGTATACAAAGAGCCACAACCCCGGACGAGGGAAGAGCTAGTAAAAAAAAGTTCAAGATGTATGGAATTCGATTTCCAGAGGCACATTGGAAAAGTTAGCACAGAGCCTTAAACAAAGAGTTGAGGGCATGGTTAAAGTAAATGGTAACAAGACCAAATACTAAGGTAAATATGTCGAACATTTTTTCTAAGTATCACGGGTAGTTTTTTTTATACTAGCCTTCACTTTTTTACAGGAAAAATGGGATCGGACTTTATTAACACCCTGTACATAAATATGTATACATACGTATTACATTTAATATATGTTATGTGTAAGAAACAAACGGATAATAAGTAATTAATGAAAGCATGATCAATTATATTGTCCCCAACTTAAATATCCAAATTAAGTAATTACACACAACAACTAGATACGAACTCTGCACGGTACATATCTACACTATTTAGACACTGAAAACAATAATTTGTCCAATCAACACCCTCAGTGTCAATATATGTATGACTTAACCGCCTTGGCAACAATTGCGATTCCGAATGGTGATAATTTGGATACCGATAGTTATCTATATTATAAGCTGGAAATGTTTGTCTGCAACGGAAGTGAAAGTAATTTTCCGTGACGGAAGTGAAAGTGGAGAAAGTTTCACTTCCTTTGCCAACCGACATTTCCAGCTTATACATAATCTATATTATAATTTCCAAAAGTCCCTCCCGTGAAATTTTCCGTGATATTCCAGCGTTCTGATTGGCTGTTGGGAGTCCAGCTACACCAATCAGGGAACGGAATTGCATTTTGATTATGATTTTCGGTATCATTTTCAGTATGATTGTGATTTTCAGTATCATTTTCAGTATGATTATGATTTAAGTATCATTTTCAGAATGATTATGATTTAAGTATCATTTTCAGAATGATTATGACTATGATTATGACTATGATTATGATTATAATTATGATTATAACGAACAATGCATAACCGCAATGAGACAAAAAATCCTTAGAAACGTTAAAAAAATTCCTTAGCACCGTTAAAAAGTTCCTTAGCAACGTTAAAAAAATTTGTTAGCAACGATATAAAGACTTTCCAATTGAGCAATCATAAAAGGTCTATAGCAAAGTTTAATTTGAAGTATGGCCCCGTCTTTAAGACGGGCTTATAGGCTAGTATAAGATAAGATGCAATTCAAAAATAATTCTGTGCAATTATGTACTTAATTTTCACGAAAATCTAAAGTAAGCCCGTCGCCCGGGGGGAGACGGGCTTATTCCCTAGTAATGTTTATTACATTGAGTGTACCTTTAAATACATGGATCAAAATAGATTTTAATTTTTACTAAAGATTCAGCAATGTATCCTCCCCAACCCTGTCAACCCCACTCATACTGCACGATCAACAATGACGAAGGCCAAAAGGTAAACCCCGAATCCAGATATTGATGACAAACCCGGCAGTACAAATAAGTACCCTAAATTCCACAAAATCCCGCGGGCACCCAAGTTTCCAAAAAAATCCATCAAACAATACCCAAGAATAAAGAAGCTAATGTAAGCAAGGATTACGACCAGGTTGAAAAGAAACTCGATTTTCTTGGCGTTTGAAACAGGTCTTGTAAAAAAGCCCGGGTTCGTTACAATAAACCATACGGCCCACAAACAGGCCACAAGTTCCCGCCCATACTGCAATTCCAACAGGACAGGGATACTTTTTGGGGCAGAATGCCATAACACTTAAAATCTGCACAGAAATGATCCCAATTGCCACAACGATCCCTGTTCCGAACGGAATTAATATTTCGCCGAGTAAGTATCGACAGCATGTTTGCGTCCCTTTTTTGGCAATTTTTTCTTCAACAAGGTCCGAGCATGGGTTCCGGCGGAATAAATTGAAAATATCTTGACGTCGTGGTCCACCGTGTTTTGGAACGATGCGGATGTCGTCTTGTGAACCAGGGTAGATTGTACGAGATCTGTTCCGCATGTTTCTAAGGTGATTGGGTTAAACGTCTCGGTATCTTGGCCTTCCAGGTGGTGGTACTTATGGAACGAATGTCCGCCTTGGTCGGAGCGGGCGGTCGGTTTTAGTCGACCCGAGGGGCGTGACAAGTCTACAATTTTGTCAAATTTCAAGTAATTCGTGTTGGTAATTTGGAGTGAAATGAATAAATCACAATTATCAATTATATTTTTCACTTAAATTCTTATACACGTGACAAAAATATTTATAAAACTTTTTTCTGTTAGCCGCCAAGCGTAACAAGATTTTTTTACATTAAGCTTGATGTGAATAAATCAAATCAAATGAATGGTTTGTTTATGTACCTTGCTTCTCATCTAGTATTTCGTACTTGATCGTCGTCCTTGCAAGTTTATAAAGATTTTGGTTTGGATTAAATATTTTAGTCGTAAGGTTAAGAGCAGCTTAATACTTGACGTTTGATGAATATGTAGAACGGTAAAACTGGGAGGTAAACCTGCTAAATAACAATTGTGTACAATAGGCGTTGCAATAAAGAGGTAGCTTACCCAGGTATGTACATACATCTGCCCATAATCCCATAATTGATAAGCGGCAGAGATAACGTTTACACATAAAGGTTTAATGACTGGGAGTTTGAAGTTCAAATCCTAGAGCAGGACGCACTCTAAACAAAAATAAGTAAAACTTACTCAAGGTTGAGTAAAAAAAGAGGATGACGCAACCAAAAGGTAAAATTTACTCAACAATTTGCAAAATTTGGCTAAATTTGTGTAAAATTTCTCCAACGGGTGGACAGATTTTGCAAATTGTTGAGTAAATTTTACCTTTTGGTTGTGTCATCCTCTTTTTTTTTTTTACTCAACCTTGAGTAAATTTTACTTATTTTTATTTAGATTGCATGCAATCTAAAAGTGTGGAAAAATTCGAAGCATAGTTCGGCTCTTTTTTTACACAGTTCGTATTATATTTTATAATTAGGTAGAAATATATAACTCTTTCAGGAAAACTTTTACTTTATCCTACCGTCTTTTTGGGTTTCGATATTTTCAAAAATGCTCAAAAATGTTTCAGCTGTGTTTCGGGTGCGAGTAACCACCTGCAAGAAATAACCGCAAGAAATTGATTTTTTGCAGCTATTTTTCCCCGCAAGAAAGTGCAAGAAACTCCATCCCGCCGCCATAGTTCTGATGGCGCGTCGTTAGATGGCGCTATGTTTCTTGCACTTCCTTGCATTTCTTGCACCTTGCATTTCTTGCATTTCTTGCTTTGCAGTGCAGAAAATGAGAAAAACCCGCAAGAACCGAAACACTGTGTATCAGTTACTTTGTCCTTTAAACATAAGAGAATTTCAGGTTACTTGTTTCATTTAAGGATAATTTTGGCAAACTAATTAGTTTGAAAACCATGGACTTGACATGTTCTTCTCAACTGCATGGTACATAAAGTCGGCATCAATAAACTGCTAAGCGAGTGTGAAACAATTATTCACCAAATTATTTAGAGTGTGCATATATACATGATTCATGTAACATGAATGATTCATAAACTGGTTGTGTGACGGATTGTTATCTTAACACAACAAAATGCGCAGAAATTGTGATCATTAGGTAAGTTGTGCATACCTATGTCAAGTTCATGCTCTGATCATCACCAATATTCGGTCTTATCTTTACATATATTTATACGTCAATTTTTAATCGATGGAAGAGTAGTGAAGCCTTCACCATGAATCCTATGAATATTTACACATACATACAGACATAGATATAATAGTGCATACTGTGTAAATGCACTCTAAACAATTTGGAGACAAATTGTCATCCGCGGAGGAACGTTTCGCAATTTTTGGCACAGATTAAACAGACGCTTTGTCGACAGTGGAAAATAATTAAAGAAATATTTACAGGGTGGTTTACATGTCAGGTTACAATGGCAAATTTGTCAATGGGAAAAATTCGCAAATCTCCATTAGTTACCGGTATTTTGCCTCTGAAACAGATTTGAGTCGGGTCTCCGTTTTTTCGGATAATCTGTAGCCAGATCCGATCCGATTGGATCGGATT